ATCCCCAAGTAGGAAAGAACCCTACGTAACATGTGTCTGGCACGGTACCGTGCACACGGCAGGTGCGGCATGCCGAAACGGTATGTGCTGGGCTGATGGCTAGAAACTGAAGCTCAGAGCGACTTACTTCCATAAAGCCATGCAGCGAATAGATGGTGGGAGGGGATTGTAAATCCAGGTAGCCTGACTCCAGAATAAGCGGTCTTGAGTACAAAGTCGTATCACCTCTGAATGAATGTACAGTGTATAAGTGAGGGCTGGGACCAGCAGATGGCATAGCGGTTGCGCTGCTGGACTCCCACATTGCCAACTGCAGTTTGAGTCCCAGACCCAGTGGCTTGAAAATCATGTCAGGCAACTGTGCGTGAGTACCCAAGATGCCGGGATGAGAATGGAATAGAAGGGATTGTGGTGTGGCCATTCCCCCGGGGAGGGGTGGTGGTGTTTCACTTTCCCTCTCACTATCTCTCTCTCTCTCTTTCTCTCCCTGGCAAGCACACATGCCCTAATGGGGGGGGGGGCTCAAAAATAAAAATAAATAAGATACATGTGGACCAAAAGAACATGAAGACTGAAACAACTTTCTTCCTAGAAGTCGTCTTTGCTGACTTTCTGACTCCCGGGTATATTCTCAATAGCTGAGGGTTAGTATAGATAAACATACTGACAGGTTAAAGTGAAAACCCGTGAAAACTAGGCAAAGTATTAGTCAATGAAGTGCACGCTCCAGATGATGCGCTCCAGAGAAGTGGAAGCTTGAGCGAATCGTGTGTCATCCGGAAGGGCTTAAGAAGACCTGAGCCAGCACCGTGTGGCCTGGTGGTTAATGGAGCCGGACCTCCCATGACAACAGCACAGCTAAAATCCCAGTGTGCGTATGTGTGTGCATGCCCAAAATCCCAACAGGACGGAGAAAGGGAGGAGAGGGGATTGCAGCATGACCGCAACCCACCCTACTAGGGGAGTGCCTTCCCTCTACCTCTCTCTCTCTCTGACAAACGCTCTCTGGCTCATAAAAACAAAATACACACACACAAAAGAAGTCAAGACCTAAGTCCAAACAGTACACAAGAAAAGGAATGGGATGTCACAAAAGGACAATATGTCATTTAAGAATATGCAAAGGGCTGGGCCAAGAAGTGGCACAGTGGTAATGCAACTGGACTGACATAGCAGAGATGGGAGTTCACATCCCAGGACCTCCCTGGGCACAGTGGACATGCACGTGTGTGCCTGTGACCCCGGCTAGCTGAGACTAGGGGTGGACTGTGACATGAGCACCCTGTCTGGGATGCTCCTCTTTCTCTCTCATGAAAGAAAATAAGCAAACAAATAAAAAGAAGAAGAAACACAGTGTCGATGTGGAATAAAGAGGGAGGGCAATCACACACGACCAGAGATGCCCACACGTGCGGGACATTTATACCCACGGCGGCTGTGAGCTCCTATTCCTGCCAGCTTTACTTTGTCACTCAAACAGCTGGCTGAAGGTTGGCAGCACTAGGGCAACAGCGTCAGGCAGGTGTAATGATTCAGGGCAAAATCCGAAGACCAGAGAAGCGCACACGTGCGGGACATTTACCCACGGCGGCTGTGAGCTCCTATTCCTGCCAGCTTTACTTTGTCACTCAAACAGCTGGCTGAAGGTTGGCAGCACTAGGGCAACAGCGTCAGGCAGGTGTAATGATTCAGGGCAAAATCCGAAGGTGTGACTTCAGGGCTCTCGATAAATAACCAAGGATCCTCGTCGTCGTCTTCGTTGTCATTGGGGAGAAGGGTGTGCACTTTGGGGACCGACCCTCTACTATTTCCAAACATCAACAGGGAGGACACGCTGACCTAGGGATTATGGAAATGCATGGTCTCATCTGCCCCGAAATCTTGGACTAGGTTTAGCCAGAGCCACCTTTAATTAATGGCACACCTAGAGTAGCTAGTGCCTGCAGAGCCTCCATGCCCTTGGGACTCCGCGGAATGAGGGGCTGAGGAAGGTCAGAGGTATACTGTCTCTACAACAGTGGCTCCAACTCTGGGGAGCCAAGAGGCCACCCACACTTTACCAACACAGAGACGCAGAGACTAGGTACATCAGTGCGAGGCCCAAAGTAAAAACACTGTTCGTCAGACTCCCTACTCTTGCTACGCGGTGGCTGAATCCTCAGCCAAGTGCCAACAGTCTCTGAGTGTGGGCACTAAGATACCTTGACCTGCACTGGAAGGCTGGAGACACTGGGGGTTACGGTATCTCTGGCAAAATTCCAAACGCTACGTCATGCCTCATGAAAGACCCAGGGACCTCCAGCTTTATTTACACGGTCTTTCCCTCACCTCTCTGACATCAGAACTGCAAAATGTCCAAGTAATCCCGGTTAAGATTCAAAACCCAGTTCGTGCTTACACTGTCTGTTTACTGAACACCTGTGTGTCACCAGACACCGATCTGGGCGCTGACAATATCAACAGGAGGGAGACCGTCACACCGATGGAAAGGCGCCCACCCTCTTTACCTTTAGCACGCCCAGGATCCTGCAGGAGGTCCTCCTTTCTCACTTCTAAGCACGGTGCACCCGGTTGGAACACCCCCTTCATATTTCACCCATCCAAATCCTCACTCTTTGAGGGTCTGCCACCCCCTCCCCAAGTGGCAGCCCTATTCCCTGAACTAAGATTACAGTACTACTAACAGTTTATCTACACTCACCATCGTCCAAATGATGCCTTACTGATTTAGCAAGCCTTGAATACCTACTTGGGCCAGCCTTGTTCAAAGCTCGAGAAACAGCAGCAAACCCTACTGGCTCTCGCCTCCCACAAAGAAGTCCTGTTGCTCTTCCACGGCTTTTAAAACCTCCAGTAAAGGCCTGGGTTGGTACTTAATACTAACAGCGTATTAGAGCCTTGGGCTCCTCAGATCCACGCTCACTTAAATGGAAGTTACATAAACCAATGGGGAACAAAAGCTAACGAAGCCATTTCTAAATGAACTTCCACTTCTTAAAAACCTCAAAAGAATAAGGAAGGAAAAAGAAAACAGGCTATGAAAGCAATGCTGAACCAACACATTTTCCTCACACTGACAAAGCCCCTCTTCCCAATCCCTCTTCCAAGACAGACAAAGGGATCTTTTCCCCTCAGTCCTTACAGTCCCAGACTCAAGTGTTTATTTTAACTAGAGACCTTGGGAAAGTTTAAAGCAGCGCTCGGTTTCCTAAGCAAGTTCTTCTAAACCTTTATTTCTTGATGAATAAGCCCCTTGATGAAGCCCGCATATGCCACTTCGACTGATCCAATGACGTTGACCGGGAGCTACACATTGGAGCGTCAGGCACCAGGGGCTCAAAGACGAACACCTTGAATGTCATACATCCAGAAATGACTTTAATGTAAACAAAAGCCACAGCCTAGTGGAAGGCTCCAAGTTCCTCCGAGAAGAGAATCAGCAGAATTCCCTCCGGGGGACGGGGGACGGCGGGACTCCGCACGCCGGCGGTTGGCGCAGGAGGTGAGGGAGCGCTCACGTCCGTGTACACTTGCTCCAAAGTGGCTTTTGTGAGACAGCAAAGCTCGCACGCTATAGCGGGCGCGGGCGAGGGTGAGGCTGGGCTGTGCCATGCGGCGGCGGCTGCCACCTGGGCACTCCCACCATTCTTCACAGCCGGGTCGGGACCGGAGATGCGAGAACCTGGCGCCGCGCGAACCCCGGGCCAGCGCCTCCTCGCGCCT